GCCAACAATCTAGCCAGTCATAATTCTGTCTCTTATACACATCTATATGTGTATCAGAGCCAGGCCTTACACCTTATTCATTAATTTAAAATGATGTGGGCACGGCCATACAATACACAAATTATTGAAATAATTTTAGAATTAAATTTAATATTTAAAAAATCAATAGATATGCATAACGTTTTGTGTACTTTAAAAATATTCATGTTTACAATTATTTTTATTCGCTTAATGCGGCTCACAAAATAATGCTAGACATTGGCAATCAATAAAGCATTGCATCTCTGTACAATTGAATTGTGGGATGCTTGTGCGGTCCAACTATTGATAGCATTGCGGCATCCGATATTGCCGTCTAAAAAAAGAGTCAACGGGGGGAGGGACTTCTTTTCAAAATGAATGCTGTAAATTCTGGAACTTAGTACTATAAAACCAACAAATAGAGCCACTGTAACATCAATCTGTATCATGTAGTGTATAAACCAAGCATGTTTATTTTGTTTCTTTGAAATTCATGTACAGTGTAGGCTATGTACTGTAGCCTATTAGGCTATGTACTGTACTATCTCGAAAAGATGGCTTCTTTTCGAGATGGGCTTATTTTCGAAGATAATTTTGCAAACTGAAGAGGTGGGCTTCAATTCAAGATGGGCTTCTTCTCGAGATTAATACAATACATTAAAAAAAAAAAAAAAAATACATCGATATATATATATATGGTCTCCATCCACATAGATTTTTTGAATATGTTTGGTCATGATCATGTATATGTTTTTTTTTGTTCATTATGTGGAAAATAAATAAATCAATCAATCAATCAATCAATCAATCAATCAATCAATCAATCAATCAATATATATATATATATATATATATATATATATATAAACTTGGGATAAACGTTTACAACTGTTCAAAAAATTCAAATCAGCTTCTGCCTTGCATGATTTTTGAGTAGCTTTTCTAGCTTCCTCAATTCTTACTTGCTAACTTCACTGCTGCAGCTTAAATCATGAATAATAGAACCAAAAGATCGAAGCGAAATCAAGATGAACACAAATTTTAACGAAATAAACCATTTATTCGCAAACATGTAAACATGCCTTATTCGCAACAGTAGAAACATTTATCTCGTTTTTAAATATAAATATACAAAAAATAGGGGGAAAACAAGATGTCTGGCTTATTATGTTACCGGTACCATATTTGGTAGTTGTCTATTGGTTTGGATTGTTTAAAACATGTATTACGCCTCTGAATCTATCTATCAACTGTTTGAAATTAATATTAAAAACTGAAAGAAATGAAAATAGGCCTGTGTTCCGCCTCATCACCCCGTCGTCTTCCGCGTCAACACCTTACTCCTCTATCAACGCCCGTCGTCCTTTTCCTTAAACCAGTAGTAGAACGTTTAGATGTCGCAATTATTCTAATTTTAATATTAGTTGATTCATAAATTTCATGATTTGATATACCAACT